ACTTCATGAAAATAAATTTATTTCATATATAGCATATTTTTAAGAGAGAAATTTAAAAATTATATAAAATATTAGCAATTGATTCCTAACACATCAAATTATTTATTCCCTAACACTTATCTTGCCCATATGTTTTAATATGGCATATGGCATATTAAATTTGATATTTAATATGAATAAATTTATATTAAATATCATCATATGTGAGATTCATTATATGTGGGACCCATTCATTCCTTTATTCATTCATATGTTCATTCATTTAACATGTTTACTAACTGGACACTGCTGAGTCCTGAGAGTATGAAAATGAACAAACTCACAGCCGAGGCGGGGAGACAGAGTTCATCTCTTATCCCTTCCTTCTTGATGTCCATCAACAATAATTCAGTCAGATTGGCCTGTTAAAATACCAGGTTCACTCCTGCTCAGCACTTTTCATTTGTTGTTCACTCTGCCTGCAACATTCCTGCATGGTGCATCCTTTCTAACACCCAAGTCTCAAATGACACCTCCTCTGCTTATACCTACCCATAGAGCACACTGAGTCAATCCTTATTTTATTTTCTTTATAGTATGTATCCTTATCTGAATTTATGTTACATATTTACTTGTTTAAGGGGCTTGCAGCCTATCTCTGTCCCTTGATTGTGAACTCCATTAGAGCAGATATTTTTTTGGCTTGCCATTACTTCAGAGGTCAATAATAATTTTTTAAGTGAATACTTAGAATATGATCAAAGCTTATGTATATGTGTATGCTGAATGCCAGCATACACAACTCTAGGGGGCATTCTTATATAGATGTGAATGGCTATGTGTGTAATGCCCCATAGTTGAAAATATGTATAATTGTATTCCTCTTTGCAGTAGCCATATGTACATTTTTTGAGAGCAGAAAGTCAAATTTACATCAGTGATTTTTGCTTGGGAAAGAGGCTTCATAAAAGAGACGATAATAGAACTCATGAAAATACAGCTCCCAAAATGTAGAAGATAGGAAGAGAAGAAATATTTTTTCAAAAAGATTCCTGAGTACAGTATTGGAGAAAAGAAACCATCTATCATCATGAAAATCCCTCCATTTTTTTCTAGACTGGCTAAATGTGAAGCACTATCTCTTCCCTACTTCCTGGCCTCTGTCTTTATATTCTATGTTACTTCCTTAATTATATTTAATACATTCTGTTGTTAAGCCAATTCTTTAAAATAACAACACAATCCTCTGGATTTTTCTAATACATAAATCCTTAGATAATCTATATTGATAGGATATAGATGATATTTTCTTATACTGACTACACTGCATAATGTGTTAAATCTGAGTCATATAATGGGTTAACCTATACTTGAACAAGATTGAGATTTCTGAGTAATAATTCTGGTAATTGCAAGAATCATAGCTACATAGGTAATTTTCTATATGGTTTAGAGGACTTTTAAGAATTTATTTATCACAAAATGTGGCAAAATTGTTGGCAAGTTTTCAATTTAAGACTCACCAGTATCTGTTCATAGCTCCTTATCCATAGCTACTCATATTCAACCCTCAAGATGATAGGCAGTGAGGAGAAAGACAGATATACTTCTATACTTATGGGCCTCATAAGTGGTCAGTTGGGGAGACAAAAGGTACACAGGTAAACACAATTATCTACTAACATTTCTGATAAATGCTATAAAGGAGAAGCATGGGTAGCACTAAATGAAGGTGCTAGAACTAGAGCACGGATCTTTGGATTTATAGCCAAGGTGACTTTCTACCTCACTGTGTAGGCACTTGCACATGAACTCTGTCTCCCCCAGTCGGCTGTGAGTTTGTTCATTTATGATGTGCCTTAAAACTTATTTTGATTTATTGAGGCTGTAGCAATTGTGTTATATGTGGAGTCCATACTGGTATATCATTTGAGTATTAAAATGACAAATTAAAATTTAATTTATGTGTTAAGATTTTGGACATTCTATCTTAAACTCAACAGGGTAAAAGTAGATATGTATCATTATGAAGTGACATAAGTTAACGATGTCTATTTAAACAAAATACCTTGCTAATTTTTGGTAAGAACCTTATTAAAATACCTACATATTTATTTTGGGGGGAATTATAAAGACACTATTAGCACAGTGTTTTCATGAAAACTTTATTCTCAAATCTTACAATGGATGACATCAAATACACAAAGGGCACTAAAATTACTTCCTGAGTCCAGGCACTAGTTTATACTTGATGAGGATATAAACACTGTACCAAACCCGAGGCAAACTTAGACGTTTGCCATCACCCTGAAAGCAAGGATGAAGAGGAGGAAATATTAACTAACATCTCTACTGACATTGGCTAAGTGCTTTCATTCCTCCTTACACTCGAGTACCAGTCCAGGGAAATGGTCTTATCATTCTTATATGGAAGCAAGGTTTCAAGAAATTAAGTAACTGCTGTACAATACCATTGTTCCTAGTTAAACACAAACACCAACACCAGTGACATTAGTCAATAGCTTTGAGGGACTCTGCGGATGTTTGCCAACCCTAAGTGCCCTCAGGAAGGACATAATTTATGACATCTATTAATAAATGAATGAATTCATTAGTTTGTTCATATATTAGGCTTCTTTCCAAATACGAATTGAGGTAGGATGTGACTTATTTAAATACTGTGTGGTTTCCAAACTGAGAAAGGCTTGATTTTAACTTTGTAATGCCCTTTTATCTATTAAATTTGACATGTGGAAGACTCAAGAAATATTAGTATGAGACAAACTACTGGTATAGTCATTTATTCAGTACATATATAGTAATATGGTGATATAGTAATACTCTGAACCAGGCAATTTTTCTAGATGATGAGAACATGACAGACATGATATCCTATCACAATGGTACTTAGATGAGATTTTTTAAATCAAAAAGTAACATATTTCTATACGATAACAAGGCGAGTATAATTAATGTAGCAGAATAAATGTAAATTTATATCAAGAAAATAGAACCTTAAGATTTCAATTATTTTCTTTAGTACTCAGCGCATTTTTTTACTTTTGATTTCCATTCTTACAGTGAGTGTAAAACACAATATGTTTTGACTTAATGATGGTGAGAATGTAATTAATTGCTACAGAAGGTAATTGCAGATTTGTATGAAGGATGTTCTAAACTTGCAAACATAGGGAATTTCAATGAGATTATAATGGACCAAAATAATTAAGTCCTTAATATCAGGGGATATTTGGATTTAGTCATTTTTCTTAAATACATAATCATGAAGAAATTACTTACTCAGACCCCTATAACTTTCTTCATAATAATGGCAATCACTTTATATCAGGGAATACTAAACCTATTATTATCATTACACCAAATATTAAGTAATTTGTTTTCAAGTACACAAAGATTTTTCTCCCTGATGTGATTTCCAAAATTCTTCCTCCCGACATCTTTGAAAGCAACTAATGGGATTTATTTTGTAACAGTGTCATTCACGAAATCTTCCAAATATGATTTAGCATTAAGGATTACTGCAAAGTCATTTGTAGTGTTCTTTGCAGTCATAATGATTTAGTCATTTTTTTTAGTGGATCTAACTGCATTCTAAATTATCCTTAAAAGAGACTAGGAATAACTGCAGGTCAAAATCTCCATGCAACCACTGAGAAGTTCATGTGCTTTTCTTTCTTCCTCTCCGCCTCTCCTCTTTTTAACAACTGGAGTGACTACTATGTTGTGACACTACAGTGAGTCAAAACTCTTATAGGCAAGGTCCTTATGCCAGACGACACTGACTTAATATAATGCCTGTGTATAGTTCAGTTTCTACAGATATGGTATTAACATAACTATACATATCCTAAGAAATGTTTGCTTTAAGATTATTTACCACTAAGTCTTTTGGGAAATATGTTTTTCAAAGGTAAACGCAACTCAATCCCCTAAAGACATCACATAACAAATAACACATTCCTTGTAAAATTTCTTCACTTAGTTACATTTTTTAAATTTATGAAGCTAACAGTTGGCACACATTCAGCTTCCCTCACAAAAACCAGTTCACAAAACCAAAAGAACTCAAAAGTGGGATGAACCTGAATGAGAGCTACTCCTTAGTGATACTGCCCCCTCTGCCCTAAAGCCTTCCATTTTTCTTAGGATGAAACAAGAAATCTTGACACTATCTTCAGGGCCTACCAGACTCCAAAGGATCTGACTCAGATTTACCTCTCTAGTCTCCTAGCAAAATTGCATCCTTTTGGCTGTTAAAACTTTGTTTTCTTCCTCCCACTTGAGAGCATAATTCTGCCATGCCTCTTTGCCTCAGTCGCGTCTCCTTGTCTCTCAGACCTCAGCTCGTTTTGAGTCGCTTCCTCCAGAACCTTTCTTGACTCTCCAGACAAAATCAGGCTCCCTCTTGTCTGCTTTTACAGCACCTTAAAGATTTATTTTCAAGAGCTTTGCACAGTTTGCCATTTCTATTTACTTGATTGAATTTGGATCAATATCTATCTCCTTAAGTTTGAAATTCTAAGGCTAGGAAGTGTGACAATTTTAATTCTTAATACTTAACTCAGTACTCTTAAATAATATTGGATGCACACACATAATAAATATTGAGGGATTTTTATTTCGTTTGGAGCACAGGGACAGAGATTTGTGTTAAATATTATTCCTAGTTTATGGAACATTGTGATCAATGGATCTGGTGAGTATAGTTACTTCTCATTTCTTTATCTCCTTTCATCCTCACACCTGGCTCCTACCTCCTTTGTCCGTCAAAGGCAACCATTTTAATACATTTAAAGAATATTTTTAACTAGACTGTTGTACATTGTATTATTGTTCAGCAACTACTCCTTTTTCCTCTATTTTTTGCCCCATTGATTTTGGGCTTGGCCATGTGACTTGCTTTGGTCAGGTCAACAGAATGTGAGAGACTGTGACACACAACCAAAAGCCTTACATGTGATGGTGTGGTTAGCAAGTTCTCTTGTGATCCTGTCTTTCAGTGTGAAGAACAGGTCTGCTTAGTCATGGATCCCTGAAGAAGGAGACATGTGCAGTAGACATGAGCCCAACCTTCCGCCTGAAACCAAGGCCAGCCAACCTCTAGCTGCCTCAAAGACCCATGAACTAAAATATAAACCTTTGTTAGAATGAATTGGTGATATTTTGGTATTGTTTACTATGTAGCACTTTGGTAGGAAAATTTAATTGATGCTATTGGGTGCATTTTTGCTTTTTGTGTTTTTTTAAACTTTATGTAATGGTATTATTTTCTTTTATTATTTTCATTGAGTATTAGGTTCTTACATTTCATTCTCATTGCTATTTGTTCATAAAATCCTGCTGTGCTAGAAGTTCACAGGACACTTCTCACTTCCCACTTCTAGTATATAATCAAAACAATTGAAATTAGAATCTTGAAGAGACATTTGCGCTTTCAGGTTCTTTGAAGCATTACTCACAATAGCCAAGATGAGGAAATAACCTAAATGTCCATCAGTGGATAAAGAAAATGTGGTATATACATACAATGGAATATTATCCAGGCTTAAAAAAGGATAAAATCTTGCCATTTGCAACAACATGGATGAACCTTGAGGATATTATGCTAAGTGAAATAAGTCAGTCACAGAAGGACAAATACTGCATGATTCCACTTATATGAGGTGTCTAAAACAGTCAAACTCATAGATGCAGAAAATAGAATTGTGGTTGCTTGGGGAAGGGGGAAATGGAGAGTTGCTGTTCAAGGGGTATAACATTTCAGTTATGTTATTTTGTTCTCATTTTACAAATCTAAGAACTGAGAGACAAAGCAATTAAGTGAATTGCCCAAGGCCACAGGCCTAGTCAGTAGGAGGTTTAGAAGTTGAAACCAGCCAATTTCACTCTAGAGCTCTTACGCTTGAAGCCAATTAAAACTTTCTTGGGTTGATGAACTATGTGAGTTTGCAGATTGAAAGGGGCCATCATACATCAGACATAATTAATACTGAGAAAAACTCTAAATATATATTAGTGACAACATTTCATTTTAAGAATCAAAAAACAAAAACATCCCCTAAAAATTGAGAAAATTAATATAGCCTCATGCTTGTACAATGTTAAATACCAGAATAGTGGAAAAGCATATGTGTAGTTTTAAAGGGCAAAGTTTGAACCCAAGACTCTAATAGTCTGCCAAGCTGTATGTTACATGTATAAGCAAAAGAAAATTTCATGTGTATAAGAACTCACAAGGTAGATATCTTTCTAAAAATATTTAAGACATATGAATAAACCAAGGGACACAACAAAATGAAGAACTTAAAAATGGATGGTTCGGATGTGAAAGGAACGACATAAATCATGTATAGGCTTAAATACAGACATAAGTATAAGTAAACAAGTCCAGGAAATATAATTAAAATGGTACAAAAAATTTTTATAGGAAGTGCACATAAGTAACTCTTCAAAGAAAATGCAATAAAAATAAACTAATAGGGTCAAAAACACAACATTGACCAATATATAAAAGTAATAGCCCAAAATAACTCAGACATATGAAAAATAAAAGGTTAAGCAAGCTGCCGGAGAGCAGAGGCCAATTTACCATGAAGGATACCCATGAGTTTCTAGTCAACAGAACTACAGTATTTAGCTGGATTTCATTCTCCTTGCCCTGTCTGTAAAAAAAAATCCTTTACCATTTAATTTCCTTCCCTTCACTGAACATGTCTTCTTTCCAGTTGAACCACGTCACAAGCAGAATTTTCTTCTATGCTCTCGGTCTTTCCTTTCTCTGGCTCTTTCCACTCTTCAGCTCCTGGCTCATCCTCAAAAGGGCATAACCTGAGGACTTATTTCCAAGCTTTTCTTTTACCTGATTATGATTTCTCCCTTGGAGAATGTATATACTTTCATAGTTTCAACTTCTATTCATGTGGCTCCTACTCCATGTTTTTTTCCTGAGCCCTCACTCCCGTATTTTCTGCCTGATCCATCTCTGGCCCTCTCAATGTAGCCAAAGGATCCTGGCATTAGATCAAAGCTGCTTAGGCAACCCCGTATCAGCCTCAAGTCTTCCTCATGGCATTGTTGACCTTGCAAAGGAATCTTGGCCCCATCCTGCCATCTACCTTCAGCCTCCTCTCAGACTAGGTGTTATGTACACCTTAGTTCGATGAACCTATAGCTCTGGGCAAGGGATAAACTTCCTGCCAGCCCTGGCACTGTAGTTCCTGGAACGATCTAGTGAGCATTACTCCTTCACTAGCTACGTCCTGACTTAGTTCACTCAGCCTCCATGTCTGGGGGAGGGAATCAGTCAACTATCATTCTGAAGGTGATCGCACTTAGATGTTTTAGAATCATTTAAAGTTTAATTTGATCTTATTATTTTCTCCTTAAAACAGCGTTCTTTTCTGTCTACCTTATTTCTATCAACTAATATCATGAATATGCTTATCACTCCAGTTAGAAACTCTTGATTCACTTTTGATTGTGCTTTTATTATGTTATCTTCAACCTCTTGCCCAATCACTTTTAATTCTTCCACTTCAATGGCTTTTAAGTATTTCTATTTTCTCCATTTCCGTTGTCCACTTTGTTTTGATCATACTTAAATTAAAGCAATAGCTGCTAACTACTCTCCTGGCTTTCGGTTATTATCTCTTCCAATGAATATTGTATATCACAGCAAGTTAATTGTCCTAATATGTAGCTTTGATGTTGTCACTGCCTATTTGTAAGTCCTTAGTAAGCTTCCATTTTCTTAATTGAAAATTAAGATTAATTCTAATTAAATTTCTCCCATTATATAATAAAATGGAGTTCATAAAACCATATTTGCCACATTTCCTATCTACAAATGAGTTTCCAAATACAGTCCTAAGGTATTCTTTTAAATAGCTAACACTTACTGAATCAGACAGAGTTCAAATCACATTACACAAATACATGAACATATGATGAAGGCTCTTGACTTGTAATTTTTGGATACATTTCTCTGCCAGTTTTTTCTGCTCTCACTTAAGTCAATCCTCTAACACTTTTTAAAGTTGGATTCCTGACCAGAACAGGCTCAGACCACACAAGAACACATTTATTTCTCCATTCTCTGAATAACTACAGCATTTCTTGGCATCTTTCATATGCACTATTGTGGCTTTTTCTCTGTCTTTATCTTGTCATATTCGTATCTGTTAAGTCTACAATATACATTTTCATATTGATTTATTCATCCAATAAGCATTATGAAGTGTCTATGTTGTGCCAGGCACATGTTTGAATGTAGGTCTACTGCCTAAGTATTGTCACCATTCAAGAATATGGAAGAACCGTGACGTGGATAACAACAAGACTAAGAGTTACAGTGGCCTGGCCTTGAGGGTGTTGAGGCCAAGAATCCAGATCATGAGAAGCCAAGATATTCATTCAGAGAGTCTCTTCCCTTTTTCTCTGGCAAGAAATTCAAAATAAAGCACATCATTTAAGCCATAAGAGAGGCCTATGGGTGAGCCCCAGAGTCTGTTACATTTCTCTCAATTATATAAATATTATATAAATACATATATATATATATATATACACACATATACATATCCTGTTATATTTTACTCAATTCCCTTGGAAATCACTCTTGTTGAAGTGTCTTGGGATCCTAATCCTATGAGGTTTATGGTCAAAAAAAAAATGGTGTAAGTCATTGATGTATCGCTGGGTGAACACTTTTGTAAAAGCTAAAAAGCTCCTAAATTTTATAGACATTTCCATTTACAATGAAAAAAAATGCCCCCTTTCACCCTGGTAAGCATGGCAGTTTCTTAATTAGAAGAGCAACACTTCCATCTGAAACAGTTAAAGCTAATATTGATCTCAAGTAATGTTAACAATATAATGCTCTTGAAAAGAATCTATAAACCACAAAAAAGAAAGTGACACAGATTCTTAAAACACTTAGATAAGCTTTTTCTAGACATTAATCATGTATAAACTTCCTCATAAAACCTTCCCTTTTGTACTCATTTACACTTTCAAATCTAATTATAGCCCATTGTCATTTTAAAGATCAAATCCCAACTGTTTCATGGTGTGCTTTCTTTCTAATTAAGTATTTGAGACCAAAGAGACTCAGGCTGCAGCTACATCATCTCAATTTTCACAAGCTGACATGCATCAGGAAAATACTTCTTGATTATTTCCCTAACAGCTTTGATGTGAAGGAAAAAAAACCCCACTGAGCTGGGTACATTGCCCCCACATGCTCTGGGGTCAGCAAATGTGGCTAGTAGGCACAGATGTTTAAAACCAGAGTTTCTGCTACACTGCTAGCAATAACCTAAATCAATATAGCATAACAACACAAGCCGGTATGTGGTGAGTGATGAAAAATAGCTGTGTAGATGGAAAATGATACAGAACAGCCATGTTATCTGGAGATAAAAATATAATCTTATAACACACCTGGGCCGGAAGTTTTAACGCTTGCACACAAAGCAAGCAAGCAAGAAACCAAGGATAAAAGCAATTTTTGCTTTAACTCTACTGTCATGCCCTCTGCTAATAGGTTGCAACAGAATGACTATTTGGAGGGTTAAGCATTCTGAGAAGATTGCCATAATTGCCTGGCCTTATTTGGTGATGTCATGACATTTATAATAAAACATAAGGTATGCATCACACAAAAGGAGAACTGATCCTTTTTTTTTTTTTTGCTTTCTAGAGATCAACAAAAGTGCCCTTGACTGATTGAGAAGGGTTTTAAAGTTACCTGTGAAAACACTTTAAAAATAACTCCTCAGGCAGCTTGTCTGAACTCTGAAATGTTAGTATAGCTCTCAATATCCCAACAGAGGAAAAAAAAAAAAAAACCTCACACCTGCACTTATTGTCCTCTTTAAAAAATAAATTCTGAAAAAAGTGGTGCGAATGCTCACTGATTTTTAAAGCCAATTACTATGGAGAACTTACGGGATCTTTTTTATGGAGCATATCAAACCCTAAAACAAAGGTACTCAATGTCTAAATAATTCTCACTATTACATGCAAATAAGAAAGTTTGTCAAAATTGCTATTACTAAATATGTTCCAATTACTGATTTACTTTAAATGAGAAGCCTATAAATTCCTAAAACGCATTCAATACAAAGAATGATACAACAATGAGAAGGTAAGCCTTCAGGGGTCCCTCATATTTCACATTCTTGGAAATGAGCAAACTGTGAATTCCATTTATTTATTTATTTCTCTCAATTGTTCTAATGTCCACATGCCCACAAAGGATATCATTCTGTCAGACATTTACCCTATCCACAAAGAGAACTCTTGTATCATGGGGTTTGGCCTGCAGTTTTAGAAAGAATAAAAATATGCAAATAGAAATCACACTTGCAGTTTTGTTTTGTGAAAGTCTGGAGTGAGAAGTCTCTGGTGAGCAGAGAGAAAAGGTTAGCAATTTTTAATATCCAAAATGATCAGTCATTCACTATTCACATCTCCGGTGAACTACATAATGTCAATGATGTCACAAAAGCAAGGCAGAG